GAGTATTGCTTCACAATTACATATCAGATGTAGTTTCATCACACCAATCTTTAGCACTAGTAGATATTCCATAGAAATTGGTAACAAAAATCCAAAACTAATATACTTATTCAAGCATCCACAAAAAATTGCCAAACCAAGTTAGTTACATTCGTCCAACCTTCTTCAACCATTAAATATGCTCATAATTGTAAAAAAAAACTTAGTGGCAAAAACGATGTTTGTTATTAATCTTTCTTTTTCCTTTTGGCCTTCCGGAGCCTAAAGTACCTATTCAAAAGGAAATTACATTGAATAAGTAATGAGCTGAGCTTATGAAGGACATAAGTTGTTCGTGGTTTGGGGACGCACCTCTCTTTGTATGCGTCGAACCGATCCGTAACATCAATAGACTTACTGTTCAACAAATCTTTCACTAGGTCGACTAGCAGCCTAAACCTTTCTACCTTATCAAACTAAGGAAATAGAACAAACAATATACCATTAACAATACCATCATCTGACAATATAATTGTAATAGTGTAATTATGCGGTTAAACATGAAATAGTCACCTTGTGTACACCGGTCGGCATGACAACACCTTGCATATACTTTATGACGAACATACCATAGTCATAACTTTATGAAAAGATGCATGTGAAGGTCAACCTTGTGTGTAATGTTAATAGGAGAGCCAAAATTGAATAGTGAAGGAATAATTTTTATAGTACTGGTCTCCAAAATAGTGTTACAATAACAAATGTATTGTTTGAACCTATGCATGAGCGTAGTAAGATAGATTGTGATGATTATTTTACCAAAGAAAAAAAGAAAATTTAAATGGCCTACCAGTTTCCTTGCCATTAATTCTCGACTTTCGTTGTTTGTACGACTAGGACGTGAGTCAAATAGATAGGCCATGCGATGTGCCATATCTATCTTTACACAAAACCAACGTTCTCCATTGTCATTCACTGGAATATATATCTAAGCAACAATAATAACAAAACTTAGTGCAATGTTGCCCAACCAATTTAGAAAATAAAAATTTAATAAATAATAATAATACCATAAAACACATATTAAAAAATTAATAATAGTAGTACAATGGAGAGGATATTTAGAATAGTCGTGCAAAATGTAGGAGTGCTTGACCCATTACTTCTTCACAAGCATGAAGCTTCCCAGTGTATCAAGACTCCCCAAAAAATTCGTCGCATAGCTTTGCATGGTCCGTCCCATTCAAAATATGTTGCTACATTCAATAATGTACAAGTATGTTTCAGTAAGTGTACATCAGCACCCAAACATAAACATGACACACTAGACTACTCACCGATACATATGTGGGAAAGTACCGTGTACTATGACACTTATCCGAAAAAAGCCTTATTTGTGCATTTGTCAATGTCGCTACAACTAAATTGATAATCTACAATACATGCAACAAATAATAATTTCAGACCTATTTCATTGAAAATGACATCACATAGTAATATTAATGTATGAAATGAACACTTACGGAACCATGAATCCAAGTTTTTGGTTGTAATGAGCACAAATCTAAGTGGGTGGCAATTCAATCGGCGTGTAAAATAGCTCCATCACCACAATATCCTCACTGAATCATGTAAAAATTGAAGGGTTAAACTTATTGTTAATTGATAGAGGAACATACAAACTCAATAAAATTACCTGTTATCCAAATCGTTATCGAAACAATATTCCTTCAGAATTTTTTCCTCGGCAGATAAAGGACATGGCCTTACGATTCGTGCAGTGGATGACTTGTGAATATAGCCTAATACATAAATAACAAATTTTCAAACTTTGTACAGTGCGTTATAGGGGATTGGAGATCAAAAACAATAACAGAATGAGTAATAACCTCAATAGCATCAAAATTGGCGCCAAGTAGTTTTCCAAGTAAGTTCAAACTCTACCACAAATTACAACCAATAATAAAAAACCAAATCGTGAAATAGAGTATGACAAATGAATAACATTGGATAATACATGTATAATCTACATGACTCACTGGATCAAACCTATCCTCCTTTGTATCGAGAGACGAATTTGCTGCATTTAAGTCAAGCATTGTTTGGGTTAGTCCTTTTTGAATGGCTTTTCTTTTGTTACTAGTGATGGCTGTATAAGGTGACCGCACATATTGACTTTCCACCCCCTCATGTGAACGTCGAGTGCACCGTCCGCCATATGGACCAGTTGATGAACTAGATCCATCAACAAGTTGGAGTTTTGGGATTATTTTCCTTCGTTTATTGTTCAATCCCACTTTCATTTTGTTTTGCTTATTGTTCCTCCCTTGTAGCTGATGTGTAATGGGAGCACCATTTGTATCAAAAGAACCATCAATGGAATCAAAAAATGGTGAATTGGTTACTTGTTTTTGAACCTAGGTGGTTTGATCATGAAGATGGGAATCCAATTTGAAGATTGATGGAGCGAACAGAATTCTATTTTCATCCGTGTTTTTCGATGCTACCATAACATCAGGTTGTGGCAGTAGCACAGGGGTGACATATTCTACTGTAGGTGCAACTGTTGATTCTACCACAACTTCATGTTTTGACGGGAGCACATTGGTCACATGTTCAACCATAGGTATAACCGTAGTTTCTACAACTCCAGGTGCAACTATGTCAGCTAATTTATTACGTTGGTTGTGCTCCACTTCTCGTTGCTTTGGCATTTGTGGTGGCTCCAATTTTTCCATGACCTTGGGAATGGAAGAATTAGTTATTCCACTTTTAACAATGACAACTAGTTCTTCCAAAATACTTTTAATGTCACAAACAGTCGTCTCAATTTTTGAAATCCGACTATCATCAATATTTTTCATTCCCTCACTTTGTACTGATGGCGACATTTGCTCTTCAACAACAAAATTAACAGTAACCTATTTACAGACATGTTATAGAGAATTTACTTTTCCATTTCAACATGAATAAGAACAAACAAAACCAAACCTAAAAGAATGGAAACAAATGATGACTTTCTCATTCTGGTAACCTCTCCCAATCAGCCAAGCAAGGGACCGAGCGAGCACGAGCAACATGACAATCACTTGGAGCAACATATACTATGTAATGAAATAGGCATTAAAATCAAGTATTTATAACAAAATAATTATTAATTGGTTGCAAGTTTACCATTATAAGAAATAAGCATCATTTGGTTACGACTGACTTTTTGAAGTGTACTTGCGTAAACTACAAACAAAGAATTGAAGAGTGAACTTTAACCAATTATAATCCTTCATGCCATCCATATTCTAAACGAGGTGAATGAAGGATTGTTTAACAACATCCTTTGTGGTTGGGCATAAGAATGCACCTAGTATGTATAGGACAAATATCCTCTTAAATTCCTTCCCATCTCTATGTAATCATTCTTCTCCTCCTTCCGTTAGGTTCTCCATTGATGTCCTATGTCCTTTGTCATCTACATTGCCTCAAAAGTGAACATAAGTGATGCTAGTAGAAAAAAACAGATACACATAACATTAAATATGATAACAATTTGTGATAAGCAATGTGCAAACCGTGTCGGTGACTTTTATTTGTGTTTCCTACTTGCTTTTGTTTTCATCTTCGCTACAGATTCAACCAAATGAATAATAAGGACTAATATTTAAACCCAACATAACAAATGCGATTAAAATAAGAAATTGAATAGTGTGAAGAAACAATACTTGTAGAAGAAGAATGGCGGTATAAATCATTTGTGTATGCAAGGTTTGTTACTTCCTTCACTCATTGTGTATTGTTATATATTATCTACACAAGCAAAGGTGAAATAATCGTTTGAGAGAAAATTAAATCAAGTTAGTCAATGCGAGAAAAGTACACACATGAAAAGAAAAATAATAAAGACAAACTGTTCAATTACACATTGTTTATAATAAAAAAAAATTAAAAAAAAAATTAAATGAGCCAAACAAATAAACACACAAAATCCAAAGAATCCAACAAGAAAACCATAGATTTTGGGAGCCTTCGGCCTTGTTTGGTTTGGCTTTGGGAAAAAAATTTTGGAGAAAATCTTTGGAAATTTTATTTGGTTTGTAATTTTTCTCAAAAAATTTTCAAAATCACTCTCTCTATTACACATCAATCAATCACTTTTTCTCTCTCATCTTTCATTTTCAATCACTTTTTCTCTCACATACATCTACTCAATTATAACAAAATATCAAATCATTCCAAACTCCAAAACTATTTTCAAAATAAACAACCAAACAAACTACAAAAATTTCTAAACTCACTTCCCAAAATATTTTTTGAAAACTTATCTCCTAAAGTCAAACCAAATAAAGCCTAAAAAAATTTTAAAAAATTCACTAGAAACAAAAAAAAAGAAGCTTTCACTGTGTTCGGTTTCAATATTCTAAATTCAATTGTTTGAAAATTAAGATTTTTATTTTTCGTATTTTTTTTTTGTTTTTAATGAATAATTTTAAAATTTTAAGTAATTTTTTAAATACACCTTACTTAGATATATTTAAAAATTTTAATATTTGTAAAAAAATAAATAAATATACAAGAATATAAAAAATTTACCATTTTTGTATTTTTTTATAATTTTAATATTTAGTAAAAATTAATTAAATTATAAAAAAAATTAATTTTTTAAAAAGTGAATTTTGAATTATGAAATCAAACCAGTTGCTTGGTTTCCAATTGGTGAAAGTGCCTGTTTGGTGCAGCTTAAAAGCTGCTTATTTCAGCTTTCAGCTTAATTTAACCTATTTTGATGTGTTTGGTTTAGCTTATTGCTTATAACTTATAGCTTTTTGGAAGTCAGAAATCAGCTTATTCTTTGAGTTGGGCAGGAGATGCTTAATTTCTAAGTCAGAAATCAGCTTATGTTCATAGTTATAAGTTATAAGCTGTTTAGCCATAAGTTATAAGCACTTTCCCACAGCTCTACCAAACAGGGCCAAAGAGTGAAAAAAAAAAAAAAAACTCTCTCCCCTCTCCGACTATAAAAGCTAAACCGTCTCACTTTCGTTCTTTCTGTGTCGGCCTCTCTTTTAAAACCTAAACCCCTGTCGTCGCTCTTCGAAGAAGCTGCTTAAACCCTATGGCCATGGCTATGAGATTAGCGGCGGCGAGAGTGGCTCCGGCTGGGCCGCTCGGCTTAAGAACTGCGTTGTTCTCGACTCTAACTTCGTCTTCGCCGTTCGTTCCACCGCCGACTAATCAAGCCGAGAGGCCTCCTCCAGCTGAACCCTCCACCAACCTCTTCGTCTCCGGCATGTTCACTTTCCCTTTATTCTTTTTTCAATTTCTGATTACTCTTTTGTATTTCTCTCTTTAATTGCCCTAATTTGTAGTTTTGATTCATTTTGTTTTACATTTTTTTGGGTTACTATCTGTTAATCTGCAGATCTTAGGTTTTTTGGGTGAAAAATTTATCCTTTAGGCTGTGTTTGGATCAAATACCGTTGTTTGTGGTACAGAAGTTCTATAAAATTGGGAAACGCCCTACCTTTCAGTGCGGTTTGAATTATTGATTTACGTAATCGGAAGTAACCAATTAGGTTTACAACGAAACCTAGAAATCGATCACTACAAAAACGAAGAGGTTTTGGGTAGGGATTTGGAAATGGAATGGAAAAAGTGTGTGAAATGCGAGTGTGTGAAATGTAGCTCATATTTCACACAACTTTTCCCATTCTGTTTTTAAATTCCTACCCAAATCTATGATCCAAACGCGGCCTTAGGCACTGTACTCAACTGAACTGATTACGTTCTCTCTTTGTTACCTATGCTGCCTACCCATTAGTTGTTTGCATTAAGATAGTGTGACAGAAAATGGATAGTGATAGTTGGTACCATTTAATGGAGGAATTACTTCAACGTTGACCTGCCATGGTAACTAACTTTAGGGTTGCCAAGTCTTTAAATATTTATTTTATATCCATAGTTGGGATAAGGATGTTTGGATGGATGTGTGGTAAGACTAAGAATGATAACATTAGAAATGAATATTTTCGTGAAATGGTAAGAAATAATTTGAGATAGAACAAGTTAAAATGGTTTAGTCATGTAGAACGAAAATCTATAGATACAACGGTAAAGAAAAATGATAATCATTGTAAATAGAAATGATTGGGGGGAGGAAAAGACCTAAATTAAACTAACATGGGATGTGGTACTAGAAAATAATAGGGATTTATTTAATTTAATTCAACTGCATAGTCCTTGATAGGGCCAACCCCATACAAGGCTTGGTTTGGTTTGGTTTGCATTATTTATTTTACACCCATGTGATCATATAACCATGTTGGAACTCCTTACATGAGACTGAGTATCAGTAGATCTTCTCTGCATTGTTAATCATTCACAGAGTTTTACCGTCAGGTATGCATATAGGTCCTCTTCTGAAAGAAAGAACAATTTTTTGGACTACAAACAATGCATTTGGATTGATGTTGTTGATCCTATTAGATGACGCCAACAAGGTAAATAAAATTGGTTTTGAAAACTTTAGAGACGAGATTGGGTTTTTGATGATAATGGTTGCACACGCTTTGGCAATCCACAGCAACAAATCTACTGCCAACCATCAGTTTGGTGTCGAGAACATTCAGCATCAGGACTATGGTCATTGACATGACAGAGTTTCTGTTGTCTTGGATAGTCAACATGTTGGTCCTCTTATTATCAAAATCTCATTATACTTTACATGTTAGTGAAATGACACTTCAGCCTAGATGATGCAACAGCTAAAAATTACTGAAATCCAATTTTCCATGATAATTTGCCATTAAGTCAAGTCTAAAATCTTCAAATCATCTACTAAATATGCTTAACATTGTACAACCAGTGAATTTGAATGTAGTTGACATAATTAGATTTGTCCAGATGCAAGGGTAGATTTGCAGCTCAGTAAAATGGTTTGGTATATGGGTCTATGTTATCTCAATATTTATGAGAACATAAATTCATATAAACTTTCTTAGTGTAATTGTGAAATAAATTGCCTACTGTCTAATTTAGTAAGCACTTTTGCTTGTTATGGGTGTTTGGCAACTGTTTCGGTTGGGCAGGAAGTAGGGTCTTAGACAAAAGCCTGTCACCAGATGTGCTAAGGCTCTATCCCTAGTGGTTTGGCATTTTATGTTATGTCAGCTTTGCTTTGAGTTGTTGTGTCATTGCTCAAACTATAAAAGCTAAACCGTCTCACTATCGTTCTTTCAGTAAAGATTGATGTTAATCTTTATAGCTACTTGTACTTTGGAACCATGAGTTTAATAAATATTGTCGTATGAAGTCCATTTGTCTGATAGCATTGGTTCTATACACATTGCTGCTCTGGCTGTTAATGGCATGAGTTTGTGAGTATTTATCACATATGTTGGACACAGAAATTATGATCTCTCTCTCTCTCTCTCTCTCTCTCTCTCTCTCTCCTAAGTATTTATTTATCATCTTCCCTTTCTGGAGGACCCTGCTGACCCTGCATGGTGGCTGGGTTTGGGCTTGCGTTGGTAAAGGATGATTGGCCAATTATTTGGTGTTCTAAGCTTATATCCGATATCATTTGTAAAAGGGTATTGATGCTAGAAATATATACTTTTTAAATGATATGGGGACTTGTGATATTCTTCGGTAATGTTTTTTGTTTGGTTGATTTCAGATTCATGAATAAAATACTGGAGGTAGATTGGTGATTTTGTTTGTCTTTTGAGATTCAGCTTATAGAAATGCAGAATCAACTAAATAAATGCTCTCAGTTTGTTTTGTTTCTTATATTGTTTTTTCTTTTGGGAGTGCACAAACAACCTCAGGCAATATGATTGTCAAGGAGAGCAGATAGGAGTAAGCCAGTGGAATCTACTATCTTGTGGATTTTTTTTCCCCTTTCCTTGTTTTAGTGTTTCTAATGGATCTTTGAAATTTGTGGTTGAATCCTTGAAATTTGTGGTCAGATGGTCATGTTTTGTTTTTTTGTTTTAAAAAATTTAATTTTCTTTTCTCAATATTTGTTCTCATCTTGTGGTGTAGCTTGCCCACAATGATGTGTTGTCATGAATTCTAATATTTTATGCTGGTCTTGGCATTGGTGGTGACCTTATCTTAAGCCACTGTAATTTTCACCAGAATCTTCTTCCTTTACTTTCAGGGCTTAGCAAACGTACTACTACAGAAGGACTTAGAGAAGCCTTTGCAAAGTTTGGTGAAGTGGTCCATGGTTTGTTGTTCTCCTTCAGAATCCTTTTAGAAAATTGCTTTGTCAAAACTAACTGTTATCGATGAAAATGATTGAACATTGGTGTTCTGACCTCTGCAGCTAGAGTAGTGACTGATCGTGTTTCTGGATATTCCAAAGGCTTTGGTTTTGTAAAATATGCTACTATAGAAGATGCTGCAGAAGGTATAAAGGGCATGGATGGCAAGGTGAGGTGGCATTAACACATTTACTTTATGCTGTTTAAAAACTGAGGTTGTTGGTCAGCATGCACATAAATGCGCCCTTGCACAGACACAAGCAGTAGCAGAAAAATGTTGGTTTGAAATTTTGTACCAGACTTATGGCTCAGATTTTTCTCCCCCTTTAGCATATAAGAGTACTGTTGCTTCTTTTCTTTTCTTCTTTTTGTCCCCAGAAAATTACAATCTGTTTAACATTAGTAGAAAGAACTTTTGGTTCTTCAGATAAATATGTATGGCCATTAAGTTAGAACTTAGAACTAGAAGTGAGAATTCATCTTCAACTATGAATCCTGTCTTGCAAATCTTGAAGTTACTTTTGTTTCCTTTATAGTTTTTAGGAATCCTTTATAGTTAGTGTGGGAAAAAGAGAAAATTGAGTGCTTAAATTGACTTTAATTCTTAACCATTGCAAAGTGTCTGATGACACTATTTTGGCTAAAAATAGCAGCCGTTATGTTTGCTAACAAAGTTGCAAGTTGTTGGCAAAGAATGATTTGGAAGGTTTATGTGTTTTTCTTGTCGAGTACAAGTAGAACTATCTGGGTTCTTGTAATATTTTTCATGTTTTCCGATGATGTCCCATACATTGAAGTTTGTATTACCTGTATGAATTTTGAATGTTATAATTCCTTACATGAAAGGCAACATGAACTACAGCTAGCAAGAAAACAGGGGGTAGAAGTATACACCCTTCACTAGACTGCAGTCATTTTTATTGTGTAATTTGCTACCCTTGACAGTGCTCAATATTTAGATCTCCATCACTTTACCAAATCACTAGCACAATGCTATATGCATTTGCTTCGCAGTTGGCAACCTTTAGTTATGATATTGATGATATCTTTTTTTTTTTTATTGGACTTGGGAATGATGTTCTTTTTTGTATTGTTGGTTTTGTAGTTCTTGGATGGTTGGGTTATATTCGCAGAGTATGCGAGACCAAGACCTCCTCTGCCTGCGAACAATGCAGGACCATCACCTTATCCGCCTGCTTATGGGTCCCCATATGGTCGTCAATAAATTATCAGTGGAATAAGCTGGTCATTTCTAAGGTATATCACATTGGTTTGGACAACAATATAGCATTTGCATTCCAGTTCTCTATTTTGACTTGCTGAGAGCTTCGTGTTCTATTATTTGGAAGTTTAGTTTTTGGAGATGATTAAATTAAGAAACTTGCGGACTTAAATTGTTGTATGATTTTTTTAAACTTCTGCATGATATATGGATGTGTTTCTGGAATCATCTTGATTGTCTTCTATACTTTTTGAGCATGTTTGTTTGGACGGACTGGATAAGGGGGGATTGTAATCTATCGGACTGCTAGTCTTAGGATACATGGTCCTGGACTATTTGGTTAGACTGGATTTGTATCCTATGTTTGTTTAGTCATGGGATTAGAGGTTTGGATTGGACTATTCTATTGAATCCTATGTTTGTTTGGGATATTATGAAAAATGATAAATGCTCAAAAGACTATTTTACCTTTTTGAATTATTTACTAAATAATAGGAATATTAAATTTGAATTATAAATTTTATTTAATTTTTTTACTAGAACTTTTAAAAAATTAAATAAATAGAATATTAATAAACATTACATAAATTTATTTTAATTTGTAATTGTGATTTTTAAATTTTATGAATCTTAAATAATTTTCTAGATCTTTGAGATGAGAGTAAAGTAAATTTGCTTTGTCTGTCACATAGGAAGAAAGTATTAAATAAAAATAAAAATAGAATACAGATGCAAGAAGTTCCCTTGGGCAAAAGATGAAGCTGCTGTGAAAGTAAAATGAGCAAAAGATGAAGAAAGAGATATTAAATATTGAGGGTCAAAAATGTAATTCTTTGACTAATCTCATGGGATATCTCATTTCACGAATTTTGTCCCAATCCTCCCTTCCGGATACAATAGGCCAACAAATATAGGACTAATAGTTTAGAGCAAAAATTTAATACCAAACAACGGATTATTAATTTATTCGGATGAATAGTTCAATCCCATAATCTAATCCTTCAAAACAAACACTTTTTTTTGCCATAAATTTTAGTTTGATGTTGTATATTGATAGGAAATAAGGAGTTCAATTTTAAGGCCTCTTGGTGGCTAGATGGTACTATTAGGCTTTTGGGCTAGGTTTTTGCTCTGTTAATTTTCAGCCATTTAAAGGGTAGAGATCATCTTGGTTGTAAATATGTGAGAACAATTTGGACAATAGCTAAAATTTTACCAAACCATTGTGCCAATTTAACAAAAGAACATGGAAAATGGGAAGGAGATAGACAAAGTCAGCAACCAAATAAGGTGAAGGAAAAACAAATACACAAACAAACAACCAAATCAGGATTTGGTCTAGAAGCTGTGTGTGAGAGAGGGCATATCATAGCTTAATAGTTCTAGTGAGTGAGTGGCATCTCCACATTAATGCCATGTCCTAATCGCCGCTGCTTTAGGCCTTTGTTTTAAACTTCTGACTCCACCTTAGATTGTATTGGAGTTGGGGTACAACCCTTGGTTGGGTCTATTTCTGTAACTATCAAGATGATTCAAATTGTTGATTTGAATTGTTTATTTTGCAAAATGAAAAATCCCGGGTTCTCTTTGCTTGGTTCCACAATCATTATTTTGTAGAATACATCGATTATATTATTCATGCTAAAACATTAACTAATTAGATATAAGTAGTCAGATGATTAGATCATATTTGTTTTTAAAAATATTAAATGACAAATGTGATTTTGAGAATAAATTTTGTGATTTTTTAAAGATAAATGTGATACAATCATGTGGCTATTGAAATTTGATCAATTTAATTTTTTGCATGAATAATTTGCTTGATAAATTTTACAAATTAAATGGTTCAGATTATTTGGATGGATCCTATTCAAGGGGGGCAATAGGGCCAGTTGTGCCCAAGGCACAATGGGTACACCCCATATTCTGATTGTATTTGGTGTTTAATAGTATCTATCATTTAACATTATCTATATACATTCTTTAAAAAAATAAAATAAAATAAAATTATCTATATGATTTCTCAATTAGTAAGTATAAAAAAAAGTTTGCAAATGAGATAACACTAGCCCACATTCACTAGATAGTTGAGAGGAAAAAAATAAGAATAAAGCTTAAGACCCTCAGTGGGGTGCGGGGGTCTGTTTTCATTGGTTCAAAACTGTTTGTTTGTTTGTTTTTTTTTTCATTGGCAGCCCCCCACGTGGAGGTGGGGGTGCTGGGGGTGCTTCCGTACTGGGAGTCCGAATCACAGCTCAAAAAATAATTCACCAAATATATTTTGTAATTTCTTATTTATCTATCAAGAACACAATACCCGACACTTGAGATCTACCTAATAAATTTTCAGATCTGGTGTCACAGGACTTGTCATTTGAGCTCTCATAATTCATCCATACTCATTTATTGCACTACACAGGTGGCACAAAATGAATCAATATATATAATCTCTCAGTGAGAGAGAAAGGGAGTGTTTGCCTTTGTCCTTGTGTCAAAAGCAATGGGGATGATGGATCAAGACACACTTCTGAGAAAGTAACTAAACAATAGATATTTGAAGCTTTAATTGGTTTATTGTCATTCCATTTTTAGCACAAACAAGTTGTTCAAGTAATTTTGAAAAATTATTGGTAAGGTTTTAGTCATGATTATGAAAGTGCTTCTTTCTTTCCTTGTTGGTTATTAATGGCAGTTTCTCTAAGCAAGACATTTTTGATTTGTTAAAACAAGATTTGGAAGTCTCTTATTTTCTATTTTAACAAGGTAAGATATTAGCGAATTAGTATTAGTAGTCAAATTAGATTTCTATGCACTATTAGTAATAGTTGATTGAGGACAATAACTTTTGAAGTTGAAATAAAATGTTGTTTATTGAAAAATTGAAACTGAAATACTTTTAACATTTCAAAAAAATAAAAAAATAAAAAAAAGGAGCTATAATGATGTTTGTTGAGTGAAAGTGATGGGTAAATTGATAATCAATTAATGTAAAGGAGGTTGTTAAATTTCACATACATATCCTATTCCAAGGGTTGGGGTGGGGGCCCTAGGGTGAGCTGCCCATCTATGGCCTCAACCAATAGAGAATACTTCAAAAATACTTTGGTTTACCTAATTTTATGGCATTAAACATTATTTAAGATTCTTTTCTTGAATGTTTTAATCCCCAATTGAATATACATAATGAACCCTCAAGTCAAGTGAACTCTGAATCTTGATTTTTGTCTCTAATAAAACTTTCACCACTTATTTCTTTCTCTGTAATTGATATGTTACATTGGACTTTGCACTTATTGTTTAAGCTACAATAATCATAAGCATAAATCCATGCATTGCAGAGAACCATAACACTATGATTGTCATCTCCGTGTATTCTTTTATTTATTTATTTAATTTAATCTTATTTTGAAGTTTATTTTCAATCTCTTTTATGCATAATTAAGTGACTTGAGCAGGTCTACTAATATCCTTGTGTTTAGTGGTAAGTCTCTATCATACTACTATTTCAACTATCGAAGCATTGAGTTTGATTCCCTAAAAATAGATGACTTTATTAGTGATAATTACTTAGATTTGTTATATGATTGTAGTTTTAATTTAAAGAAAGCAAGCAATTCACTCCTTCCCACTATAAAGTAAAAGAGTTTGGTAGTGATTTCTCTTTAAAATTGTTTTGGTTGTGTAAGTGGTTGGTGAGTAGATTGTCCATATAGGGAATAAAGTCAGCTAAATTTTAGTAGCACTGATCGAGCTAGGATAAATAAATAAATAGATAAAAGAAAAGAGCAAAATTTTATTAAGGTTTGATGGTGGTGACAAGTCCCACATTAATATGGTCTATATCATCTATTCCTCTTTCAAATGTATTTTTTTAAATCGATTTTGAGTATTTGTATATCTTCCACTTGTTTCACAAGTTGCTTCATATTTACAAGTTGCATATGTATTACTCACACATTATTGATAACCCAAGCTAATAGTTGATTTATTTATTTGATTCATGTATAATTTGTTTTCATTGCCCATGATTTTAACTTTAGTGACAAATATTTTTCATGTAAACCAATTACATTTTGAGTTTTTTTTTTTTTTTAGTCAAACTGAAATTGTGGGGAGATGAATCTTAATACTATTTTTCTTATGTGCGCTAATCAACTTGTGAATTGGTTGAAAAGATACTTTGATGCCTAAGTTAGAATTGATGGTGGAAGAAGAAAAGAAGTTTTAGATAATGCCAAAAATGATTAATTGGAAGAAGAAAAGAAGTTTTAGATAATGCCAAAAATGATTAATTTTTATTTATTTATTTATTTATTTTAGTGTGAGGCTCGCTCTATTTATAGAAAATCAAGCTCTTCAAATTTTTAGGCTAATTGAACTCAAAATTCACTTTTTCTATTTTAACTAATCATTTTTTAGTATTCATTGTATCAAAATCTCTATTCTAACTCAATCTTATTAAAATATTAATTTGTTATTGTATTTGTTATTCTTCCTTTTTTTATTAAATTGATGAGGTGCTACCCAAATAATTCTTAAAAAATACAAAAAATAAAAATAAAAAATTGTTGTTGACCGGTCAATAGGCGGGTCAACCAATTAGGTTAATTTTCGGCATTTTTCCTTCTTTCCTTCTCAGTTTCCCTTCAGAAAATATAATAAAAAATCATATAACGAATGAGCAGTGCCTCAACAAAGTTGTTGAGGTACTGTAGCAAATCTAAGAAAATGCTAATTTAGAAAAAATTTACTAAGACTGATGGAGGGAGAATTTGATGAACAGTACCTCTATATTTTAATTTTTTGTTATTTTGGTGATCTTGATGCATATGCCCATGTCCTTCATGGGTGAGGCGTCGGTTATCATCGTTAGAAACTTCTCCAACATTTTGTTTCTATAAGCCAACCATTTTTATGGAGTAGTTGAATCAATTTTTAATTAAAAGCTCGCTATCTTAGCATGACAATTGGTGTTGGTCAGATCTTTATGAATTATACTTCTTTCATAGAAAATTAGTGTATTTCGTATTTATTTTTTAAAAGAAAATTAAAAAATCATTAAAAAAAAAATCGATCACAACTCTTTTGAGAAGTAGGTTAAAAGTTAGTTTTCAATTTTAATTTATTTTGGGTTATATCATTTCTCACAAATTTTGCACGTTTTTTCAAAAAAAAATCAAAATCAAAATCAAAAAATTAACTTTTAACTACCTTTCCAAAACAATCCGAACATGAAAACTAAGGCC